TAATTAAAATGATTTATTTCATGTACTTATTAAAACGACTAAATAAGGAGTATTTCTTTTTGCATGAATAGTCTTTGGCAAATGTTTAGAAAGTGGTGTTATCGGATCCTAAATGTTTTAATGATGAAAAATGTGTTATCAAGTACCTTAATATTTCCAATTTCGTTTTAAATTACCTAAAATTTCATGTTACTTACTTTATGTAAATCTGTTTTACTATTAAATGTTGTTAATTACATTATGAGTTTATTATTTATATTATGGAATTTATTAATTAAATTGATCGACTATTATGATTTTGCAAAGAAATATTCAATGGTTCATACTAACATAACATCATGCCTTTTATCCTCGAATTGGTAAGCAGAGATACACAATACGGCAATTAATGCCAATATGCAATGTAAGACCCACTTTTCCCCATTTATGTTACAAGTCCTATTACATGAATAGGGGGTGAGCCTATTGCCATATACCGGGTACATTTCCAGACTTCGTGCTACTACTGAAAATTATTTTAAAAACCCAGTAATTCTTTGCCTGGCCTGGATATCGAATCCGAGAGCCCTTGCTCGGCTCGACTTCTCTGCCAACGAGATACATGTATATTAATTATTCTTATATTCGTTTTTTACACCATGTCATACCCGTTATTAATTAGCAGACCGTCAAAAAATCACGGCCTCACAGAAAAACGGCGTAAGGCAACGTGTGCGTTATGTTTCCCTGTGTGAGTTAGGTTATCGGAGGCCCAATCCTCCCCTCATCCCAAATCTCCCACTCTTTAAATCCCTAACCTCAAGAGGCCGGCAATGAACTTGCGTCTCCTCTGGTGTTGCGTACCGTCCATGGGCGGTGCTGTTTGCTTTTTTTTTATGGGATAACCATTAGGTTTAAAAATAATTTACATAATTATTTTTACAAGCAAATAAACATACGTTGTCCTTTACAATCTATCTATAAACATATAATAAAATCGTAGGTAAGTCAAAAGTGTATATTGAATATTTTTTTTTTTGAAGAACGCTTGGGGTGTGGTCTATAAGCGATACCGAAGCTAAAAACATGGTTTTTGGAGTTTTTGTCTGTTTGTCTGTATGCATGTCCGGGCTAAACTCAAAAAGTATTGCATGGATTTATTTCAAATTTTGCATGAATATTACTAACAGGTCGGGTCAACCTATAGGCTACATATTATTACGTTATCACCTACGGGAGAGGAGCTGCGAATCACTATTTCACGCGGACAAAGTCCTGGGCACAGCTAGTATTTGGATAAAATGATTCTGTATTGTACCTTGTTACGACAGCGCATAAGTTTGACTTAATTCTATATACTACAAACTTGTTTATCAAGGAAATTATACGTACAAATCAAGTTTCTGAATAATTTAATCAAGCTAGTCTTGGATAGAGACAGTATATCTCAAAAGAGTTACTCATTTGGTCTAGGGAGATCATCAGTGCAGTTTTATCTCATAGTACAGTTTACAATGGATAATAATACTGTCGATAGTAATTCGACAGAAACAGACAACAATTCTACTTTCGTTGGTGATGGCTCTCATATAGCCTATACTTACATAGACTATATTGTGCTCTGTATTACAATCCTAGTATTTGCCATTGGAACTGTGTCTTGGTGTAACATCAAGAAATTCCGTCACTTCAAGAATTATGTGTTTATCAACGCGATTTTGTCCAGTGCATTGAACGACACCGCAGCTGCTTTGTACACCTTTTATAGATTTAATTACTCCCAATACGTCAGTACATATACTTTTCTATGGTTGAGGTTGTTGTACCATGCTACTGTTACATACTTCGGCCTGGTAACTTATTGTTGGTTGCTTGTGCTTTGTTGGATCTTCTACGTGGACATCGTGAAGGTGTTTGGCGGGGACATCAGTAGAAGGTATTTCAAAAGCAGCCTCTTCGCCTGGGGGTTCCCTCTCATCCTCAGCTTTCCTCTACCATTAATCTTATTGTCATTATCTAAGTACATAGAAATTGAAACCACTGTAATCATTTGTGCGTTCGTTGATTTAGCTAATTTATTTGTACCTTTATTAATATCTTTTGGAGTTTATGTGAAAGTAATTTGTACTTTATTTAAGTCTTCTGATGTCAGTAGAACTGCTGTGAAAACTAGAAGGTTCTATTTAGCTACCTTAATATTTTTATTGAGTGGCATTTTATTTGTCATTATGCCTTTGTGGTTAATAGTTGATCTGCCATACTTTACTATAGTTATTATAAAACACTTGCAAACGATGACAATGAATGTGTATTTGCTTATAGTAAAAAGTAATCGTGATTTGTGGATGGGATTTTATGAGAAATGTAAAAATAAGAATAACATAGTTCGTGCAGGACATCGGTTGAATAAATTGAATAAATAAAATTTAAGTTGTTTTTGTCTAGACTTCTTAAAAACATTGAGTGAATGTTTGCCTTCTCCATCAAACCATATACAAAACCGATATGTATGAATTTTTAGGTAGCATTTTTGAATGACGCTTACGGTTCCTAGAAGTTCAAGTGTCAGTACTTCTTCCTGAGGTCCCGTAAGATCTCACACTAAGGGTGGCTTTAGTGTCGCGTTGATCGCACGCTGACAGCCAATAAAAATGAACTTCTAGAACCGTGCGCGCTGATAGCTACGCGTCATTTAAAAACGCTACCTAGAGGTTCACACATCTCGGCTATCAGCACCGACGATGGTCAGCGTGCTGTCAGCCTTTAATGGAACTAAGTATATGATACTCAACGCAAAATGAAAACTTTCTAGTTTAGTATTTATATTTAATAATTCTACCTTTTATTATATTTAAATTGAATATTTTTTTCAGTTGTTACAATAAGTTGCAATTCATGGCTTAAATACTAATATAAGTATAGACTAGCAGGCAGGGATAGTTGCAAAAATAAACATAAAGTATACTTTTGATACTATGTTATGTCTAAATCTTAAAAACCTTAAAATCTTAAAAACCGGTTACATCTAGAATAGGAATGTTGAGGACAAAGAGTAGAAAACAGGTTTTCTTAATTGTATTGCCAAGTAAACACAGTACTTGTTATTGAAAATTAACTTATTTTCAATTTCACGTAGACTTATAAAAATTGTAAATAACATAACATAACAACACGCCTTGTATCCCCGAAGGGGTAGGTAGAGGTGCACATTATGCCACTGTATAATGTTACACCCACTTTTCACTATTTATGTTATGAGTCCCATGTAATAAGGGGTGAGCCTATTGCAATAGTAATACTTTGCTCGACCCGGGAATCGAACCCGAGACACCTTGCCCGGCAGTCGCACTTGCGACCACTCGGCAAATGAGGCAGTCTTTATAGTGCCAGTATTTACTATAATATGTTAACTATAATTATATTGTATCGAGTTTGGGCTCATTACTTCACTAAATAGTATAAAACAAATTCGCTGTCCGCCGTTTGTCTGTCCCTAGGTATGCTTAGATCTTTAAAACTACGCAACAGATTTTGATGCGGTTTTTTTTCAATAGATTGAGTGATTCTTAAGGAAGGTTTATGTATAATACATGCATATTGCACCCGAGCAAAGCCGGGCAAAGCAAAGGCGGGTCGCTAGTATTACGTATGTCTATTTATTGCTCCTGATAAATGATATTTATTTCTGCCAATAGGTTACAAAGTAATACGGGTCAAACTTCAAATTACTAGTCTAAGAAGAAACACCGAAACAAACTCAGAGGTATGAATTTACTTGTATTAACACTTTATGGCATATGCCCGTAAACGAGCAGACGGATCACCCGATGGTAAGCAATCGGCGTCGGCCATGGACACCTGGAACACCAGAGGCATTACAAGTGCGTTACCGGCCTTTTGGGGATTAGGAGTTTGAGGATCGTTGGGGATTCAGGAATTGGGGAGATTGGGGCAGGGGAGGGTAATTCGGCCTCCGGTAACCTCACTCACATGACGAAACACAACGCAAGCTGCTTCACGTCGGTTTTCTGTGAGGCCGTGGTATCACTTCGGTCGAGCCGGCCCATTCGTGCCGAAGCATGGCTCTCTTAATATTAAATTGAAATAATTTAGTGTTTTGTATTGTTGCATGCCTTTGGTTTTTTGCTAATGTTTCCTAAAGAAAAAACGCCGTACCGATGCCGCAGCCATGTTCTATAGCCGTGCCGTTACTGTGTGTTATAATGTTTAAAGTCATCTCAGTCTAAGGCATTTCTGATGGGTATTGTATAAGAATTTTCTAGTATTTACAAGACGCTGTTGAGGGTGTAGGGAAGACCAGGCTTCCACGCCTTCATTGCAAGCGTGTGGCCCCGTTGAGGCTACGCATACCTACTGGTTGGTTGCGACTTCGTTGCAGCTCAGCGGAGAACTGATGGCGATGAGGATCAAAGGTGCTAATATGCTCCAAAGTCAAAGGCAAAGTCAAAATATATATTTTACCTAAATCATAAACAGGTGCTTTGAAACGTCAATAAAATGTAGTTGGGTCTCTGTTCCTTGATGGACTTAATATGGACTTGATACATGTTAGCCAAACCTGTAAGGTTGGGTGTTTGGATGAGTGTAATGAAACCAAGGAGCTCCGAGAATACACTGAATATATTGAATATAGCATGCTGAATACATATCATACGATAACTACACCACACCTTCCCCTTTATTAAAAAATAATAATAAAAATACATGACAACTACTACAGCACTAAACGACCTTTCTGTCGCAAATAAGGTGCAGCAAACCGTTCACGAGACAACAGTGTAAACATCGATTACCTCATCCATAAGTACTTAGTAATAAAACAATGGATGATACCATAAATATAACTAATGTTCACATAACTTTCAATTGCTGTTGAGTTTCACAAAACAATTTTGTTATGTTTATTTTCATACATTTAAATGTACTCCAGTTTTCACAATCTCTCAGTTCGATTGAGTAATATTTATCGCTCAACTTCAGATGAACGTGCTACTGGAAATAGTATTTTAAATTGAAACCTTTATGTGTTAGTATTGTTTGAAAATTGACAAGTTGTTGTAAATACGTGTTTTGGAAAGAAAACTATGTTATTATAACGGTAGCGTTATTTAACTTATAATAACAAATGTGTACGTTATCTGACTTGATGAGCACAGTATCTTAGTTATTCCTGAGACATCGGACACTCCGGATAAGTTTACACCATTAATAAAAAGCACTATGGCGGCAGGAATGTAAGTAAATTTTTCATAAATAAAGAATATGTAGTTATTTTTGATCTTTGGATTTTTAGAAAATAGTTTTTAAGGAAATCATGGGTTTCCTTATTCAATTCTGTAGACAGTTTTATTAATGGGTATATTAATTCATTTTTTATTTTAATATGTAGGCTTTAGAATTATTTTCAGTTTGAATTTTGAGCAGAGGAATTATATAGTAATGTAGTCTGTGGGGTGTAGCCGTAATTAGATAGAATAAATAGCACAAAATTATAGTAAGTAAAAAGTACAAGTACAATTAGCAATAAAGCCACGCATCGCTATTGCAGTTTATAGTGCAAAAATAATATAATATTAATGGTGGATATTCAATCATCAGTTAATTTTTAACTGTAGAATAAAATTGACATTAGACAGTTTTTAGTATGGAAGAATAATAATTGTCAAATGTTCAAAGTTGTTCCTTAGTTAAAATGTATCTGGCGTTTGAAAAATCGGTCCTAAAATAAAATTTCTTTGTAATTATTTAAGTGAAAATTACACGTAATTAGAGAAATGGTAGTGTAGTAGGTGAGTAATAAGTAGTGGATTATCGTGAACAATCGTAAGTTTACACAAGGTCCTTAAAAAGTTCTCGCTGTTTCTTAACTACACGGTGCTATGCCCGATTTCATTCAGTAAAGGTTTATACATACTTACATAAACATAACATCACGCCTTTTATCCCTAAAGGGGTAGGCAGAGGTGCACATTATACCACTGTACAATATAACACCCACTTTTCATCCAAAGTGGGAAACAGCCAGAACTTTTTATACAGCACTTAGATATAAATTTAGAGGGTTACGGGTTACTTTAGGTATAACGTAGAGTAAATAATTTTCTTTCAGCGTTCTTCTGCTTGGAGCCTTTGCATTTTCAGTATTTTGGACGACAAAATTCTTACGTGAAGTCTACGACACTTCTAGTAGCGGTAGCAATGTTACCACAACAACATCACACGCAATCAAAAGATTTTTATTAAATGAATCTTTCAAGAATACGGAGTTTCTCGAATATATAGACTGAATTTAATGGTAGATATGCCTTATTTATTAGTTATAATGGCCCGGCTACATGCACCGTCTTACCTGTGCTATGATTATGAATGCCAATGCCATTTAGCGCAGGTCCGAGAGAATTTTGGCACTTGTCAGTGTCCTCAACAAATCTACATTGAGTTTCCTACTTTAGCTTAAATGGCATTTGGCAGTGCTATCACTGAAATCATTCTTGCACAAATCAGCTTGCGTAGGTGAACGCCTCGTGCAATCTGGGTAATTCTGTCTTTATGCACAGTCATGACTGCACGGGCCTGAACTGTGCAGGTAAGGCGGTGCGTGTAGCCATAAGGTCCATATTGCTAAAACATAATTGTATAATATTAGATATTATTTACGAACTAACATCGGTTTTTAACCAGTTAAGTTATAAATCCTATGTACGAAACAAGCTTTTTTGTCCAATATAAAAAGTAAATCTTGCACAAATTCAATTTTGTCTTACTGCACTGTGAAGTTTATCAGTATGGGCTTTTAGATTTTATTTACTGTAGTTACTAGAAACTATTTTCGAATTTGGTAATTAGAAGGAGTCTAGTTGTACCTTAAACAAGTTCTTTTTTAATTTACAAGTATAACAGTTGTTTGATAATACCTCTATTTATTACTAGCAATCCACCCCAGTTTGACTCAAGTACTGTTTCCCAACGCCTCCGGTGAATGTAGGTATAGAATTCCTCTTTCTTCTGGAATGACAAGTCCTAATATATTTTAATAAATTCCACCTTTGTTATTTGATAAATAAACTTGCACTACCTATCTCTACCTCTGCACTACCTCAATCTTACCAGTAGCTGTAGCCAAACGCCATTTAGCGCTTAGCAAATAACTGTGTATACTGTACAAAAGGCCGTGTATTTACCTAAAGGCGGATAATATTTAGACTTTGGTTGCCATTCTATCATTTTTCGTCATATCATCGACTTTTCTTTTGTTTTTGTTTAGTCCCATTCAACAATTCAATTCAACTAAAGGCAGATAATATTTGGATTATGAAGAATAACACCATTTTTATACTTCCGTCGTACTCCTCTTATAGTCATATTATATCCATTTTAGGCGTGACATCATTGACACGTCTTTTGTTTTTATTTTGCGCTGGAAAATTTCCTTGTTGTGTTATTTTTTCCATGTCAATTGTGAAGTGTCAAATGGCAATGTCAGAGCAGTTTGTACGGAAATAATAATTATGTCAATTTAACAAATTATCTAGTTGCAATTTCTTTATATTTTTTACCTTTTGGACATTGACTGGACTTCAACAAATATTTTAAGATCAAATTTAACGAAGTCGGTTTAGCTGTTTCAACTTTAGAACAGAGCAATCGATTTTAAAATAATCTATATCTACACAAATATGAATCACTTTTTTCCTTCACGACTACACTCGTGAATGGCTGACCGATTTTACAAATTATTTTCTGGTTGTATTTGTTATTATTAGGAGAAGGTTCTTGAGACAGAAAAAATGCTGAAAATCCTACGGGAACGGGAGACAACTGGATTGTGCGTACGAAGTCGTGGGTAGAAGCTAGTTATAAATATAAATAGAAAAATCGGAATAGACTACTTTTATTCATCATAAGCAGAAGCTTATGATGAATAAAAGTAGTATCTAAAAATTGTACGCCAGAATCTCGCAATGTGGAAAGGTATCTTGACGAAGGCAGCCGTTGAAAGCAGGTTACTTTTAAGAAGACCTAGAAGTGACCTAACACGTTCCAAAAATGACCTAAGAATTTTTGCTCCCTAAATAAATGGCATTTGAGCGTTTGTTGAACTAAAGATATAAATCAGTTGGGTAAAAAGTCAATGTGCGGGATTTATTTTTTATGGCGCAGGACGGTGGGCGGATCATATGAAACAACGCAGTGTAAATTTATATAACCTTTCTCATAAATTTTTGTTAGAGTTTTTTTGAGAACTATCTGAACTGCGATTTGTGACTAAGTGTTAGACTCTTAGGGCTCTACACAAAACTGCGATGCGACGTCGCATCGCAAAAATGAGCGAGCTCCCCCTACGCATCGCAAGAACTTGCGAAATAATTCGCATCGCGCATCAAAATCTTATCTTCCCATAATGTTCTATGTTTCTTTTTCCTGTATCTCCTAAGCAATAACAGAAGTGCACACTTCTTTTTACAATAGTATGTCACGACCCAGTTTTCAATTCAAAATACGTTTAGTACGGTTGACGGTCGTCAAAGGAATGGTCACCTTGGGAGACGCCTTGTCGCACGAATTCGCATCGCATCGTATCGCAGTTTTTACTGTTACGTTAGTTGTACGAGCCCTTACTGACTAAAACCACTCCGTTTCTACTCCTGCTTTGAACCGAAACCCCGGTGTTTGAATGACTGGAGTATTGAATATGACTCAATCGAATGTGTTAATGTTTTCAGATACCTCTTGTACGGCGCATTAGGATATGGCTTGTACTTAATTTACCCTGACGTAAAAGATTACGTCGATAACTTTAAGTTTCTACAAGGTGATGAAACTGTTCCGACTCACGATTCTTTTGGGACGGAAGCAAATTGGACGGATGCCTGGAATTCTAGTTGGATAGCCGAAAATATTACATCTCTTATTGCCAATAATATTACATCTTTTACTGCGAATAATGCTACAACTAATTGATTTGTAACATTAAATAATGTTATAGTATAATATTATATTATGTATGTTATATTCCTTTTATTAAATCAGATGGTTTTCGGAAATAATGGTAACAGATCCTAAGGCCTAGTATTGTTTTTTTGTAAATGTTAGACAACCACCTATGTGAAGGTTCGACAGTACGTGTTTTGTGACAAAGGCAAGGAATATGCAGTCATTTCAACAAGACCCATTGTACTTTTAATTTTAAGATTATTTTGTCTTTGTTATTAGTATTGGCCGACATATATTCGTATTTACTTCATTAGGAAAGTTATTCCGAATATGTACTTATTTGGTGATAACTGTATATTATCACATTTTTGTATTTCCCTTGGTATGTTTTCTAAAACAAAGAATTAGGTATGTAGTTCAAAGGCCAACGAGTTAAATTTCCCCCAAATCGAATTCCTTCAATCCGTTTTCAACTCTATTACAATAAAATAAAATTGAAACTTTGTTCTACAGCTTTGGGTAGCTTGATGTGCTGGCATTCACAGATAGCATTTGTAATTACTAGCGGTCAAAGTCAAGTCGAAAGTTAAATTGAAAATATGTCATACTCATATTTAAGAAACTATTGCTACCTGTAATGTAAGATAAACAATGTACAAATATGTGTACACAATATTTTTTTAATTCAATGTTTATTTTATAAAATTGTTGTTTTATTTTACACAAATATAATAAACTCACCGACAACTTTTTAGTGGCCGATCGGATAAGTTTACACCAATCATGTTATGTGCCTACTGGGGTGAGTCTACTGTCATAATTATATAGGTATATGTAGAAGAAACAATAGGGATGATGACAACCGTATGAATATTAAAAATCGAATTAGTCCGTCAACTAGGTAATAAAAATAAGACACGTATTTTTTTATTTTGTTGTATAATAAAATGATACTTAGATATCATGATAAAATCAAAGTTTAGGAGTGGGGGCTAAAACGTCATTTCTACGTATAAAATGTACATAGAAGTGACGTCACGCGACATTTTAAATCAATATATCGTCGAAAGTATTCGTTTCTGTAAAAAATTGAAAATACGTGTGTAATGTATTAAAATAATCTACCAGACGGACATTAGTCATCTACCCTATTCAATCCACAAGATTGAAAAACTGTAATGAGTCAGGTCCTGTTCCAGAAATCAAACCTGACACCTATTGTTTGAGGTCTGAGAGTATTGTACATATAACTAAAATAGTTAGGTAGATATATTAAAATCATTGATACAAAGAATATGGTTATTATACTTATTTCCACAAAACAAAAAATAAAAACTGCGTTTAAAAAACCGACTTCAAAAAACTAAAAAGTAAAAATCAAAAAGCAAAAAATAACTATTAATAGCAGTGATAGGTTGCCCATCCACTGATAGGTTAGAAGTCAGCACTATAACCTCTAAACAAAATTATTTTTTAGACCTTAATAGATACGAATATTAAGCTGTTTACAATTTTGGGACCATTAAGTTATATCATTTATATTATGTGAGCTTAACATAGCATCGACTTCTAACTTATCAGTGGGTGGGCAACCTATCAGTATTAATAATAGTTATTTTTGATTTTAAATTTATAATTTTTGTTTGTTTTAGTTTTCGGTTTTTTGAATTCAAGTTTTTTAAACACAGTATTACTTTTTAATTTTATCATTTTTAGTGTAAAGCTACATAGACCCGCCTTGTCATTTATAATCCATATAGAGGTAGGTGCAATATTCTAACCAATACAAGTTAATCAATACCAAGCACAAGGTAGTAACTATAATACCGTTGCGGAGTTCCCTTAACAATTACACTTCTGTATCATCAGACCCTTAATGAGAGTCCCGTTCCACCTAGGTGTAAAGTTCTCATCGATACAAATTAACCTAGTCCATACATAAGGTAGTTTTTGTATATCATTGAGGAGTTCCCTTAACAATTACACTTCTGTATTATCAGACCCTTAATGAGAGTCCCGCTCCACCTAGGTGTAAAGTTCTCATCGATAAAAATTATCAAGCCCAATCACAAGGTAGTTACTGTGTATTGTTCCCTCGACTATCTATTGGCTCCATCATCAGGTCGACTCAAGACCCTTGTCAAACAGTAGTGTTTAAAAAATCTTAGATGCATTACTCGCCCCTACAATTTTCAAAAGATCTTCTCGGATTCCCTAGGGTTCCATCATAAGATCCTGCCCTGATAAAAATGGGCCCTCTCGGGAGTATAACCTTTTAAACAAAACAATCATTCAAAAGTAAAAATCTGTTCTCGACCACGCTAACGAGTAGACGGATTACCTGATAGTAAGCAATCACTGCCCATGGGCATTTTTCAGGGTTAGAGATCTAAGGATGGAGGATTTGAGGATTGGGGAGTATGAGAAGAAAGGTAATTGAGTGACCGATAATAGCAATCAGTAGCTTTGACGCTAAATATAGCATTTTTTTTAACAAGGCGCTATTACAACTGAATACCTACTTAAAGCTGTGTTTATAAAGACGTGTAAATTACTGATGTGTTCGGCGTCGCCTATGGACACTTGAATCATCAGAGGCGCTACAGTCACTGGCCTTTTAGGAATTAGAAATTTAAGGAATGTTGGGATTCAAGGAATGGTTAGATTGGGGAAGGGTCAGTTTTGGCTCTGGAGGTCAAGGTGCACGATCCTCGAGTATGAGGGTGCGGGATCAAAACCTGAAAGTACCAATATTTAGATTTCGCTGACATACATTAAAAAATATCGTGATCGTCACAAGGAAACAACGTAAAATTGAAATTATAAGTTTGAATCTTCAATCTGCTTAGAACATGCGCGATAGAAAAGACCTTCACAGAGCAGTTACTACTTATAGGCTGATGATGATGGTAATATTGTCTAAACCTACTTGCCTTACCTGATCTTTTCTTTATTTAGTGCAATGTTCAAGTTATAATGCACTGGGTGTTTGTCAACTCCGTGTGTATTGTTGTTGATTCAAGACATCTCACGACTTTTTAGTAAGGATTATGACCTTATAAAAAATTTTCTAAGATTGATTACAAAAGTTACATTCTTTTTCTATTCAATTATGTGTTTTCGTAATATAACGCTGAAAAAGCGAATAGTTTCTGAAAAACACTGCACTAGTGTAAAAATTTGCCCTTAGAGTTGGAAATCAAGTAGTTTTATGGTTAAGGCGGCTGTAAAACACCGAACTACAGTATAATAGGCTGTTTTTCATACTTAAGTGTAAGAAAATTATCAATTCATGGTGAATGTTCCACTCACATGCACAAAGCGCTTCGCATCAAGCTTACTTGTGCGTACTGTTAGGGAGTGGAATACTTTGCCGGAGCCTGTGTTTCCTGAAGGATTATAATCTGGGTGTCTTCAAGGCCCGAGTAAATAGGTTACTTATGGGCAGATGCGCTCCATGATAGGTCGCATCATCGCTCACAACCAGGCGAGATAGTGTCTAGACGTCGGCTAAAATATAAAAAAAATCATAACTACCGTAACTTATTTTTTTTTGCTTTATTTTATAAGTAAGTTTGTTTCCTGAGAGAAAAATTTCAGCACCTATGATGGGGCTACAATACAAAACTCAGTACATACTACTATGAAGTAGGTAATCCGTTAATAGGTTTAGTTTGTCCGTAAACTTAAACATAAATTAAAACAGTAATCGAACCTCAGATGACGACGGTGACGCTAATCTAGCGTTGGTAATGCTTATGGTAATCACCATAAGCTATGTTTACTTGCTTTAATCATTAGGGTCTAATCACACTAGGGATTACTAGTGCGCGCAAGCAGCAAATTGATGCGTCGCGAATACGCGGCGGCTCCACAACGAGGACGTCGCAGACGCGTGGCAAATACGTAACATTTTTTGTATGGCATAAGCCGGTAAACTAGCAGACGGATCACCTGATGGTAAGCAATCGGCGTCGCCCATGCACACCTGGAACACCAGAGGCGTTACAAGTGCGTTACCGACCTTTTGGGGATAAGGAGTTTGAGGATCGTTAGGGATTCAGGAATTGGGGAGATTTGGGAAGGGGAGGATAATTTGTCGCGTGTACGTAGCAAATCGATGTACAATACACTCAATAACAAAACGGATTCCAATAAGAGAGTATTGTTGTTGTTGGTTTTATTATTGCTAAGAGGCAAACAGGTTGGCATACGACACTACAAAATGGTGTTCATGCTGCGATTCGCGGCAATTTTGTAGCGGGTAACAAATACTCTGCGCATTACGCATGCGCGGCTGACGCCTAACGTAACCATTTCTCCGTTTTTAGGACGCTCGCAATCCGCTAGTATGATGAGGTCCTTATTATCATGTTCCTATACATATGGTCATACGGATGACAAACGAACAATTCGTTTATTTCCTGCTGTCAGAACGATATTTACGTAAACAAATCATATTCAGTGTTTGTTTTCACATCTGAATTTCATATATCTGGTAAAAAGGACGGTCAGATTTATCAGTTCATTGATCACCTTAACTAAGAACAGTGGTATATTTGAGAAGCAGTAAAATTACAAAAGACATGTCGTGCTTTTATTTGTGAGTATAAATCACATTTAGGAGTGTAATTTTGTTATAAATTAAGTAAAGTGAACTAGTAGTTGCTTAATTGTTACACTAATTTTGTACGGTCGAATGAGCTGACCCAACCTTAGTGATACCACGACCACGACTTCACAGAAAAACGGCGTGAATTCGGTGTGAAAACAAAACACTTGCGTTGAATTTTGGCGTTTGGGTTAGGTCTTCAGTCCTCCAAAATAGGAGGGTTTGGAATTGAATAATAAATTTAAGATAAATATCTGGGTCTTTTCCAAGATCAATTTTTCGGTTGGATCAAATGTGTTCAGAATCATTTCAGTATAATAAAATTTTCTTTATTGTGACACCAAAACAGACTAACAGACCAACAGAGCTATTGAATACTTTCCCGGGTCTCTAACTATCGTTGTCGGCAAAATGATTGTGGAATTCGGAAATTTCACTCATTAAGGTTCAATGGTTAAAATTATAGAAATTCCCGGAATTTTAACGTATAATTTTTGTTCCTATGAGATTTCCAGGATAAATATTTCTTACGTCTCCTCTCATGTCTTGAACAATTGTTGAACCCATTTTTAATCATATCGATTCGGTGGTCTATAAAATAAAGAGGCGCGGGATTGTAACGGTATTGTTACCGATCTCGGGGCATTTCCCGGATAAAAACTATTCTAAGTTCGTCCTCGAAATTTCATCAAAATCGGTTTAGCGGTTTAGACATCAAAAAAAGATAGACAGCCATAGTTACTTTTGCATTTATAATAATATACTGGGTGTCCAGTAAATAGTGCACCATATTGAGAATGAAGATAGCTGGCATCAATACCTATCTACCTAAATACCTACCCCAAATTATGTTCAATGAAATTGTATGGTTTCTAAATCATGGGTAGACTGTTTAATATCAGAAATATTAGACCTTGAATAGAATATTTATCCACAAATAATATTTGATGTACAAAACTTGCTAAAAAAAGAATGAAGTAGTGATTTTTAAAAATTAGCGAAAATGTGGTATAATTTTTAAACTATACATTTT